ACAGTAAAACAGAATTGTCAAGCGAGGAGAAATTTAAACTTCTCGGTTTAGATGTGCCCTATAATTTACACTTTTACGAGGAAATTATACAAGTAAAATTGCTAATTTCTCAGCGGCTGGTAAATGGTCAATTACGTCGTTATCGATAATTGTATCAAACTAATATGTTCTTCAATCCGCGTATAGTAGACATTCAAGCATAAAATGTGCTATAACAAGAACATTAGTACAGTATTAGGTCAGTGTAAAGTAATTATGTGCTTATTAAAAACAGTAGCGGTGCATTAAGATAAGACAACAATAAAATAAAACAACCAAGTTTCATTTAAAAATGCACCCTGCCACACATGCGTAATACTAAGACACGTGCCTACAAGTGATAAATGATAGGGGAAGGTATTGTGGGCTATAAGCAGGACAGATATAAAGAATTTGATTTGAAGCAATGTTGTGGAAATTGTTGAAGAAATTGTTAAAATAAACTTATGATTCCTATTGTTGTTATTATGACAAGGTAATCCCTTGCTTCAATGCAATAAATTAATCCCCCCCCCCCTCCTCCCTCCTCAAATGTCATTGGTTGCAAACTAAAGATTGACATGTCCACAGCCAATCTCATTTTTACACATTTCGCAAAATTATTGATTCTAATCGCCCAAACGCATTAGGTCGCCCAAATATATATTTATGGCTCGCCCAAACTTATGTATTTGGCTCGACCAAACTTGTAGATATATTTATCATGTAATAAAAGTATTGTTATTTTAGTGTCTTGATGTTCGCGTTGGTTTGTCATGTGAGTATGTATAAGTATGCTTGTGTATGAGAGTCCGTGCAAAGCGTGATAGTTTATTATATAAGGTTGTATATGACAATATTGGTTACTCTACAATAAGTGCCGTTTGAATGAAAAGATCCTTGGCTAATGATTAAGTGGATATCATTTTCATTCTTGCATGTCAAAATGAAAGCTACATTCATTGGTTCGTCATTCACCACCCATCTTCATCGTCATTTGAAGTGTAGCAGACGGCATTTTTGACCTGTTTACAAACACAGCTTGTATCATTATGTAGATTAGATGTGTTTACTAGGTTTTACTTCATTCACCAGAGCACTGATTACAATTACTACTAATTGATGTCACTTTATTAACAATGTCTCAGTGTACTTTCTGGCTTCTTGTTGGTCAATTTGAAGGTCCTTGGGGTCAATTTCTGTATCTCTTGGAAACATCCAAACTCTTCCTTGCTTATTCATAATCTAGTTTTCTAGATATCAACAACACTTTAGATTGATCTCTATATCAATCTGTTTCCTTGTTGCTGATTTTTGGAATACCTTTATATTTTTAGTACTTTGCTATTTTCAGCAATTTACAGGTATGTGTGTTTTGGGAGGGTATAATTTGCCTTAGTAGCCATTTATATTGATTCACGTCAGAGTCCGGCTTATTAAATCTATGCATCATTTTAGTTCTTATGTAGTAAGAAAAGGTTTTAATAATGTAATCATCATTTTCAGAATAATATAATTAGATGTTACAATAGAAGTAACTAATTATAATTAGTATCCTTTAAACCCCTCTTAGGGTAGGTTATTATTTTGGTTATTTAGTCTGTAATATATGTGTTTAAATACAGTAATTATTTATAAAGTAATTTGAAATATATCTCCTGCTATATCGTTTTCTGTATATAGCTATAGTTAATGTTCCG